CGCGTTTGCCGTAAGAACTGAAGGTCGTGAGTTTGACACCAATCTAAGTCGTGAATGGGTAGTGCTGAGCAATATCATACTAGAGTGAAATAGCTGTCCAGTACCCATAGATTTCCAGTGGTTTACCAAATGATATAAGTCTATGATGAATATAACTTGAAAAGTTTATTTGTTTATCATATAATTTCATAGCTTATTATCTGCTGCCTCTTATTTGTCTATCATAATTCGATTTCAAAGAAGACTTTGATATAATCAACCAGTTCAGTGGATTGAATGAACTCTGGCGTTACCATTAATGAACACTGGGAACACACTGTGGTGTATGTATTTGGAAATGATGAAATATAAGTAGGTCGAAAGAGACATTATGGATTCTAGTATTACTCAAGAACATGTTTCGATTTACTTATAATGTGTCAGTTGACGTTATACCTACACTGTAGTGAGTGTCGGTATCCTCACTACTTGTCACTGGAAATGCTAGAGAGCACTGGACAGCTGTCTCGTCCTAGTACGGGACTTCTCATCAGTGCGCACCCATGACCCCGCCAGGGATCAAACCCGAAACCCTCAGGTTTCGTGGCCAGAACATCACCATTAAGCCACTGGGTGCGCATTGCGTCCCATATTGGGACGAAACAGCTGTCCAGTACGCTAGGTTTTCTGTGTTTCTCCAGCTGTTGTCAGTCTACAATGAATAACAACCTAAAAGGTTTCCTTTAATTGTTTTAAGTAGGTATCAAAAAGTTCCCAATGTGTAATCGCACTCAACTGTCGATATCTGATTTTTATAGTCCTCTCACCAATTACTCTTTGTTTCTATTGGTAGCGAAATTCTCCATACCTCTGTTATAAGTGTTGTGTCATTTGTATTACATGTGTTGACTGGTTGTTGATTCGATAAACAAAGATTCAGTAATCAATCTCTGCCTCTTTATCCATCTAGTTATATTGGACTTGAGTACAGTGGGTTTTATCCCATACATCCCACTGGTTGGTTATATATGTGTGCATGCATTCCAATAGCCGAGGGTTTTTCTAGCTTATTCATCTTATTTGGGGTCTGTCATTCTATATTTAGCTAAATTTCTATGCTCCGTTAATCTGACTGACCCTAACCGACTAGTTCGACCTATGTACTTCATCTCACTCACATTCATTACATGGTATTTGATAGATTATATTATTTTACTTAATTGGTTCTACCGGATCCTTAAACTAGGTAACAAAGCTTATCTCTGAATGAGTTTATAGGTTTCAATGTCACTCTAATTCTAGCTTTGTTGAGGTTCCTACAAAAAAGTTTCTGATGTGTTGTCGTTACCATTTCGTTTCTTGTGTGTTTGTACGAATTTCTTAATAAATGTAGATTATTATTATTATTAGTCCCTTGAGTTCCTAGTGGAACATAGGGTTCAGTAGCACGCCTCCAGTGACCCCTGTCCTCTGAGATCTTTTCAACCTGGTTCCACGACAGCCCACAAGCTCTCATTTCTTCCTCGCACCACCTCCTCCATGTCACCCTCAGCTCGGACACCCTACTCGTCGCTTCCCATGGGATTCCACTCGAACATCTGGCATGACGCGTCATCTCCTCAGTCGGCCTTCTCAGTGTATGCCCAATCCATCTCCACTTCCTTCCACTGCATATTTGTTGGGTGAAAGGTTCTTGGTTGGTTCGTTCCCAGAGATCCTTGTTGCTTATTCTTATTATTCTGGCCATCTGATCTTCAGTAACGAGCCAGCGTAAGCAGTTGTTGATGAATGTGTGTAGTTTATTGGAAATCCCGTTCGTAACGCACCAAGTCTCTCAACCACCATACAGAAGCACTGACTTGACTGACGTTGGTGTTGAAAATCCGAATCTTGTTCCACATGCTGAGTGCAGAAGATCACACTGGTTTCAGGCTAATGAACACCTGTCTTGCTTTTCCGATTCTGACTTTGACGTCCTCGTCTGTGGCTGTGCCACCTGTAGTTGCAACAGTGCTTCCCAGATAGGTGAAGGAGGTTACTTCCTTCAAGATTCTCCCGTTGATGGTGATTGGAGTTTGTTGTTGTTGTTGGAGTTGTTGGTGCGGTATCTTCATCACTTCTGTCTTCTCTATATTCACCTGAAGTCCCGTCTTCGCTTCCCTGTCTCTTCTGTCAACTTGTTAGTTTTTGCCTGCAGATCTTCAAGTTTATGTGACATTAGGCATAAGTCATCGGCGAAATCCAAGTCTTCTAGGTTGTTTTCCGCAGTCCAGCCAGTGAATCTCCCTCTTCTCGCTGCCCACGGTTTGCTGCATGATCCAGTCCAGTCAACCACAATCAGGAATATCATGGGTGGTAGTAGGTGGCAACCTTGTTTCACTCCTGTCTTCACTTCAAAAGCATCACTGAGCTTCCCCTTATGAATTACTTGGCATGTGGCATCTTCATATAGTTGTTGAATGAGGCGGATAAAGGTTTGCGGTACTCCGTAGTAGTGAAGCAGTTTCCAAATTACTTCTCGGTCGACGCTGTCAAAGGCCTTCTCAAAGTCGATGAAGTTGAGGTAGAGAGTTGATTGCCATTCTATGCTCTGTTCTATGATGATGCGAAGCGTTGCAATTTGGTCCACACATGATTTGTACTTCCTGAAGCCTGCCTGTTCTGGTCGTAGTTGTGAATCCAGTGCATCTTTAAGCCTCTCCAGGATGATGCGGCCTAGTATTTTACTTGGGTGGATAGGAGAGTGATTCCGTGCCAGTTCTTGCAAACATTGAGGTCTCCCTTCTTTGGCAGTTTGACAAGGTAACCCTTCTTCCAATCAATAGGCAGGTACCTTCTCTTCCTTCCACACCTTCTGCAATAGTGGTGTGAGCATGTCCGCTGTTGTCTCTGCGTCTGTTCTCAGTGCTTCTGGCGGGATCCCATCTGGTCCTGCTGCTTTCCCACATGTCAGTAGCTTTATGGCGTTCAGGACTTCCATTTTCGTTGAAGGATTTATGTTCACCGGGGTGAAGGCACCCGTGTGGTTGCGCCACAGGATGAGACTGTATACCGTCCTGGTTTTAAAAAGCCTAGATGTGTATTCTGTTCTCTCCTGGAAAACCAATGTATAAATACCCGTTCAAATGACGGGTGTGTATCATACTGTGAATAAACTGTAGATGGTAATTATTAGCTATCAGCGCTTCTTCTACGAGTTTCAATTCCTTGTTTAAGTCGTTGCACTGACTAGTCAGTTTTCTAGCTTTATCATTTAGCCATTTGACTAAACCTGCCTTCACTGATTGATATTGGATGAGATGACTTGAAGTCTGGATACCTGTTAGAATGTGTCTCTTTTCTGTTGAAAATAGTATCCAAACAACCGCCTGTCTTTCCTTTTAACCTGCAATCTAACATAGATAATTCTTCTTGTTCATTTTCTATCTCCATGAAAGTGTCTTGAATTGTGCCAACTACTGAGTTTATATGTGTGATGGCAGTACGGCAAATAATACTGTCTGGTTACAAACAATTAAGCAAATGTACTGAAAATATAGAACTTTGGTTTACAAGTTGTAAATTTGTTTCTTTTCAAGAATGTAGTACATCTGCATTCTGAAAATAGGCTGATCAGTTAGTTCCCTTACAAATTAATCACTTGACCAATTTCAAGGTCAAAGGTAAAGTTGTTGAACTGATTTCGAACTGATCAATATTTGAATGAAGAGAATTCAAGGAAGTATAAAACGTGGAAAAGCTTAACATTTAGGGGTATATATGCACCATCTAGGAGGATGACATGGAGGAGATAGTGTGAGAAAGAAATGAACAGCGGGTTGGATGTAGTATGCAGCTAGTCACCAGTACTTATTTGACATCTTTGAAGAAACCAGTGTCATAAGAGGATGTGTATTACTGCATTCCTAAGTTGTCTTATATGTGATCTGAAAGTGTTATAGGCTTGTTCTAGTACGAAATTGTCATTGTCAATGTCAAACAAGTGGAATATCCTTTCAGCTTCTAAGCTCACTCACTTCTACTGTTACTTCACGACACAGCGCAACTATCATCTTTAAAGGTCTTCAGTTGGTACTCATTTCTTTTCCAATTCAATCAATCCTATAGGTCATAACTTCTCAATAGAACTTTGCGAAATCTTACCTGAAAGCATATCAAAAAATAAGCGCTAGACAGTAATTGAATTTGATGTATTTGGAGATTTATTTCATTCATCATGGACTAAGATCACTTGGGGAATCACTGAAGTCCAACCTAGTGACTGAATAGTTAATGTGTACGCTGTAAGACTTAAAGATTTGTTCATCGATCTATCTCTGTATATTATCAAGTTTACACAGAAGCCAGTGTGTTTATTTTGGATTACTAGGAGTTATTTGCAATAGTTCTATGAATGAGATTTTCGACTATGATACTTATTATAGTAATGATGATTGCTGGCTAGCAGTGGAGTCCAGAATAAGTATTTCGTCCTATTTGGGACTCATCAGCTAGGCATATCCGCCTTCCAGTAAGTGATGTTGCTTTCACCGGGATTCCGACTCGACAGTGATCACTTCAAACACCAGAGCGTTATCCACTACACTACTGAGCCACGTCTGCCACTTCTTGTGCAACGCGTATAGTTTTATTATGATTGCAATTACACTATGATACTGATTACCTTGAATTTTAAGCGATTAAAGGTTTTTCATTTCATCATGACTGTAAAGTTCAAAATAAGCTTTGATCATTTCCCGTCATGGGTTGGTAATCATCCAAGAGAAAAGTATCGATTAAGAATAATGAAATATTATTAAGTATTATAGTGAGAAAGAGGATATGGACCAGTCACCTGTCTAATGTATAATCCAAGAAAGGAACTCATCATCGTTTTAAATCGTTATTTCATCCATTACCTTTCACATAAATAAACATTCAAGTTGTTAGGGTCATCTGAATCTTGGTTGTTAGACAAATAAATAAAAACATACACACAAAAACTTAGTCAATAATTCCACTTAGATCATTCGATCTTGGTGATGAGTAACGCCTTAATCAATGTGATCTTTTCATGTACTACTACTACTACTACTACTACTACTACTACTACTACTACTACTACTACTACTACTACTACTACTACTACTACTACTACTACTACTACTACTACTACTACTACTACTACCACTACTACTACTACTACCACTACTACTACTACTACTACCACTACTACTACTACTACCACTACTACTACTACTACTACCACTACTACTACTACTACTACTACTACTACTACTACTACTACTACACCACTACTACTACTACTACTACCACTACTACTACTACCACTACTACTACCACTACTACTACTACTATTACTACTACCTATGCCTAATGATACGAAATTATTTCATAACCTTGGCGATATGAAATTCCATATTAACTAGGTGCAAATTAGTGGTGGTTGTATTGACTATAACTATCTTTTGGACCCAGTCAGCTTTCTTATCATTGTTTTTGTAACAGTCGATAGAGATATATGTAGTCTTACTTCATGAAGGAGAGTGGTATTCAATCTAGAATGCCATCGTCATTTTCCCTATCGTTGGCTGTATTTCGGTAGCCTTAGGGGAGTCATCACTATGGATTCACAGTCGAGCCTCCCACAAGAATATATTTTTAAACATCTACAATGTTGTGAACTCTCCCCTTAAGATGTATCCCACTCACTTCCTCCCCTTGGAAGCTTAGTAAGATCGATGAACCGTTTACCCGGCAAATGTGCATATATCGAAGTCTGATATTTAGTAAAGTTCTGGGAAAATACTAATCCGTTTTGAGTAGGCGTTAATAGCTGTAATGATAACAATAATAATAATAATACTTGTAATACTAATAATGTCTTTTCTTTATTGCCAGTCATAATCATGTTTACAGTTCAGAATTCTTAGTTTACCTATTGTACAACATTTTTCAAATCTATCTTAACAATGGCGCTGTTTACAGTAAAACATGGACTTCAGCGTCATTATATAACTGTTCGTCATTCCAAAGGTGATTGATAAGACAATGGTCTAACATGATTTTCTTCACACATCAACTAGAAGATGGTGGTATGTATATATAGTTGTGAGTGCATAGAGTTTAACATATTTTGCTTCTTGTCTTCTCAGAGGACAGACATAAAGAGAGTCGTGTGCTTGTCATCAGTTAAAACATTTTTAGCCAGCTGCCAACAGGAGTTCAGATGCTTATCCATGACCGCATTTTTCAGCACGATTATTGGTTCAACATTCGCTTTACTACATTCTACACAATATAACGTAGTCTTTCTTTCGGAGTCCAGGAAAGAATAACTGGGAAACAATAAGTAAGTGTAGATGAACGAGAGGAATTAGCAAAAACAAATGAGTAGAGGCTTAGTTATGTCAGACAGTCTGAGTTTCCTGATAAAAAAGGTCAAACTAAGGATTCTCCTGGATATCAGTAAGATATTAGGGGGACCAAGAAAGATCAGAAGAAAAGCATAAGCTAGGATGGACCACGCTTACTAGATTCTCTACAACAGAGTCATCTATAAGACACGAGTCATGAAACTGAAACAATATGCAAAGGTCTTTTTCATATCCAAAGTTAAAATTAACCATCTGTTACTTGAAGGGATTGAGTGTAAAGCGTGTGTACTATCTTCTCTCAGTGTAAGTACTGGTAAACTTGCTTAATAAGAGAGATCTAGGGATAGAATCAAAGGCAGAAGTGTATTCTAAGAAGGCGGATCTAAGATACTTAACATCTTTGTCTAGACTGGCAATAATATAATGATGTAAAACAATTGTAGTATCCAAGGTACTTGTTCTAGGTTTGTAGGCAAATTGATTTGGATCTCTGAAGGCCTCCCAAAGAGGTTCCAGTACACGAAGCAACTGTTTTTCTATTATTTTCAGAAATGGTTAGGTTACTGCGATCAGTCAGAATGTCACTTTAGCTTCAGCATATGTGAACTTAGCTACCGGAATTATTTTAATTTCTTTCTAGGTGGTTGCTATGTCTTTTCTAGCGAAAGACTCATTAAAAATGTTTGTCGGTGGATGACATAGAATTTCAACACAGCGTTGTAAAATAATATCTTGTGTGCCGTCTAGCATGAAACTTTGTATTAGTAATAGTAGTAGAAGTAGTGAGCATTGCTGGTCAGACCGGATATAAGAAGTATTTGTTAAGAGGTCAGTAAAAATCGTAGGCAATTACCAGCAGTGGGTGAAGATTATGCCCAAAGAAAGGGAAGAGAGAATATAGGCGTATTCAGAGTAAATCAAGACAGAAACAGAAGAGGAAATGAAGTACATTGTGCAAATGACTGTTTGTTAGTATTCCGTCGAAGTGCAGCCACCTCCTCCTGAAGGTTATCGACTTGTTTCCTCCAGTTATTTACCTCTGATGACTGCACCGCAGATACTGCTGTACTCATTAGCTGTCTCATCACCTTCACCAGCTCACCAATATTCACAGGTTAGGCTGCGTTCACTAATCGTAGCTGCTGGGTGATGGCATTAGGGACACTTTCGGTGAACTTTGCCTTGAAATCGTCACCCAAGTGGGAAGTGCTCATCGAAGTGGTTTGGTCAACTTGATAGCCAATACCAACGGGCCTTCGTCTATTCCAAGTCTCATGCTCGGGAACTGCTGCATCTCCAGCTCCCTGTCCACTGGGTTGTCAAACTCCTCCTCCAATCATTCAACCATTCTGTCCCAACTCTCCTTCCCTTCCTCGCGTTTTATGCTGTCATATGCCAATATCGCTCTACCCCTCAGCAACGTGCCAAGCACCACCGTCTTCGTTTCCGGATCCCAGACACTAACCAACTCCACGACCGACTCGAAGTCTCATAAGAAAACCTTGATGTCTTCACCCTTGAACACTTCAGGACACGCAATTTTCATCATGTCAAGAAGCAACAACACCAGTTGTAGGAAACGAGAACATTGAAACATATTTGTTCTTAACATCTTGTATAGTAGTCATCCAATATTATAAACTTTACACTTAGACAGTCATTTACACAATATGCTTCATTTCCTCTTCTGTTTCTTCCTGATCTATCCTAAATACGTCCACATTCTCTCTTCACTTCTCTCTCTAGTAGTAGTAGTAGTAGTAGTAGTAGTAGTAGTAGTAGTAGTAGTAGTAGTAGTAGTAGTAGTAATGTAGTTAGCGGCGGTACTTAGATTTCATCTGAACAATATGTCAATCCAATGATTCGATTTTTACACGACCAACTATATAATAACTTGTATAAACTTGCTTTTCACATAGATGTTTATTGAATAGATGCTGGTTAGCAGTAATGTATATGATAATAATAATAATTATTATTATTATGTGAATACATTCATGCAGCTTAATAGTACATGTGGGCGAAACCCAGTCAAACAATAAGCAGATAAATATTTTGATAACCTCTCTGTATTGTTAATAAACTGGACGTATTTTTATTATGATAATGAAATTGAACATTATCAAAGGTTATCTAAATAATAATTTTCCATTACTTTAATTAGAAAATGATAATAATTTATACTGAATGATGATATTGTTTGTTTAAACTTCAAGGTGGTCTACACTCTCAGCTGATAGAAATTGAGGTGGTAGTAAAAATTTTACGAAAACAACTATTGAGTAGATATGTTAATGATGGATCGTGGCTAGCAGTAGAATCTATGATGTGCATTACATCCTATTTGGAACTCACTGGTCAGCTGGATGTACCTGCCTCTCAGTGAGTGGTGTTATTCCCACCGGGATTCATATTTGAAAGCGATCGCGCTTCAAACGCTAACGCGTTATCCACTACACCATCAAGCCATGATAGCCACTTATTGTGAGATGGGTATAGTTTTTAGTATATAAAGCGATCGCCCTCGAGTCTGAATCTCGATGGGAATAACATCACTCAATGGGAAGCAGGTACATCCAGCTGACCAGTGAGTCTCAAATAGAATGAAATGCGCATCCTAGATTCCAATGCTAGCCACGATTTTATCATTAACATAATTAGAACACTGGCAATATTGAGGCATTTGCACAGAAGCCCATATGGCAATAGAGACCGATCAATTCGATCCAATCAACAATAGTATGATATAAAAACAATTATACTATTGAGTAGATAGTCTTCTGTACCATCTTGGAAATGTTTAAAATCAACAGATAAAGATGATGTAGATCACAGTTGAAATTATGATATTTTCACATCTCAATTCTAGTGAAATATTAATGAATTAGTTAATAACATCTTTTCTATCTACTAGATTAATCTGTCAGTAGTATCTAAATGCTAGTACAGCCTAGTAGAAGTTTATTGAAAGGTATATTTCAATTCTGTATTGATTAGTTAGGATTCCTGTATGCAGACCGAATCCTATCGATCATATTTGCAATGTGGCAACCAAGTTAGGAAGCTCATCATCGCGGTGAACACTAGTAGATGTTAGTTGGTTGGAGGCAATCGGCAGGAAGTCCTTGACCTAGGTTTCGTGACCAATTAATACATGTAAGCCACTTCCTACAAGAGGTCAACCGCAGCCTGAACAGTTCAGTGGTGAAGACGCTGTCTACAACACTGGGTGACGTGAGTTCGAACTTCAGGCAAGACATCGGTTCCATCGAAGCTGCAGGTACGCCTTGGTGACGAGTGCCAGAAAGCACGAAACCTACGTCCAGGACTTCCTGCTGATTACCTCCAACCAACTAACATATTTCAATTCTGTTGACGAGATAGATCATTCCAATCATCATGATATCATACTACGGGACACTTTTACTTACAAATGTACCACTGATAAATTAACCTACTATCGTTGCTTGAAATCGAGATGTCTGGTTCCATGACACTAATCAACTCTTCATGATGAAAAAGGGTTATAAACAGTCGCGTTAGTAATCTATTACAGACAATTGAAGAACTTCTTTACATTGAACAGAGATTTATATCCAGGTTGATGATATTTATCAAACGATACTGGGTAATGATTGAAGGATTCATTTCATTACGACTGCTTTCCCCAATGGTCAAACTGGTAACCTACAATACGGAGTGAAATTAAGTGACTGGTGATTTCAAATTAACATAGGAAAAGTGAATCATTAATTGAACAAATTCACATTCTCAAGCTATATATTCGTAAATAAATCTGATATTTCAAAGACTATCAACCTTTGAGGACCATTAAATGTAAATAATGGGAGATTGACAAGGTTGCCTACCAGCACCGATCATATTCCTTATTGTGGTCGACTAGATCATACACCAAACCGTAAGGAGCGAGAAGATAGGTATACGCTGTTTAACCGATGAAAACACAAAGACACTCGAAGATTTGGATTTCGCCCCGATAATGATTTATGTCTAATGTCGGACAAGCTCAAAGATCTACGAATAAAAACCAA